GACAACCTACAAGTGCAGGGCTATGCAAGAACTGGAGAGGTCAGCCTAGGTCCCTCCAATAGGAGCCACGCAATAAAAGAAATTTGCATAGCCTATCCGAGCGAGCAGAGGCGTGACCTAACCACTTCATGGATGACTTCCCCCCACTGAAGGAGAAGTTGGGGTGCAAGGGTTAGATAGTATATCTTCCTGGAGTACAGTGCAACTAGTTCTATATGCTTGAATGGGTGCTGAGTGGATGCTTCTCAATCAGCAGTCTCCCATGTTATACAGACAACCATTTTTTAAATGATGGGGTTTTTACAAACAATTTCTGATATGGCATATGGGTCTTTTGTTTTTTAAAAATCTCACTGCACATTCCCAAGCCCTTGGATGGGCATAAAGTAGTTTTTTTTTATCCTAGTCACAGAATTTAGCTCACAAAATGCTTCCAATAAGACTGTTCTGAAGTCATGTATTGGGCCAAAAATGAAGACACATTGTTGCCTTGTATCAAGATCAGTAAGATTACCTTCAAATAAATCCTATCATTCACAACTGGCATTGTAATAAGAATGGAAGTATGCTATGTGAATTATTTAGAACAAGATCAAATTGAGTTAAACACAACCATAGTATTCTTGTCTTTCATTGCCATTAAGGCACGGTGTGTGTGTCTTTTATTTGTCTACCTAGGGGAGATGTGTTGAAGGTGTCACCTGGTTGGTGGAAAAATTAGGCTTGTGAAAGTATGGACATTGTAGTAATGAATCACATATACTAAAAATGAAGTGTGACCCAGCATCACCTCAAAAGGATACCTTTTTTAAATTTTGAAGGCATCAGTCTTCACTGGCTCCAGAGGATCTCACCAGATGTACAGACTTACTAATTATAGAGGGCACTGGTCTACTTCACAGTTCTGATGCATCAACTCAGGGGTGTCGAACTCATTTGTTATGAAGGCCAGATCAGACATAAATGAGACCTTGTTGGGACGGGTCATGTGTGTCTTATTTATTTATTATTTTAATTTATAGCCCCCACAAGTGGGCTCAGGGCAGCTCACAAATAGGGCACATGCTAATACATAAAACAGGTTAAAAGCAACATAAAAACAGTCATTTACAATCTTTCAAAGTGCTCTAGATGTTTCAATCAGTCTTCAATAAAAAGATGGTGTCTTAAAGGTGGTACTCCCAGTTCAGTGGTATCAGCTCCATGTATCGCTGTCATTCACTCCTCCCAGGGCCGGTTGACAATGATGGTAAAGATGGTGGTAGTGGCGGCTCCTACTCAAAAGCCTGGTGGAAGAGCTCCGTCTTGCAGGCCCTGCAGAATTGCACAAAGTCCCGCAGGGCCTGGATCTCCTCCGGGAGCTCGTTCCACCAGGTAGGAGCCGCCACTGAAAAGGCCCTGGCCCTGGTTGCCGCAAACCTGGCCTCCTTGGGGCCTAGGGTCACCAGGAGATGTTGTGTCCCCGACTGTAGTGCCCGTTGGGGAACATATGGGGAAAGTCGTTCCCTTAGGTATGTCGGACCCTGGCCATATAGGGCTTTAAAGGTAAGAACCAGCACTTTGAAGCGAATCCGGTACAATATTGGCAGCCAGTGCAGAGTTTTCAGCACAGGTTGGATGTGCTCCCGCCTAGGGAGGCCCATCAAAAGCCTAGCTGCAGCATTCTGCACTAGCTGCAGCTTCTGGATTTGCGACAAAGGCAGCCCCATGTAGAGAGCGTTACAGTAGTCTAACCTTGAGGTGACCGTCGCATGGATCACTGTGGCCAGGTCATCGTGGTCGAGGAAGGGGACCAACTGCCAAGCCAGCTACATATGGTAAAAGGTTGACTTAGCCGTGGCTGCCACCTGGGCCTCCATAGTTAGCGAGGAGTCCAGGAGCACTCCCAGACTCCTAACCTCCAGCGCTGGCACCAAAGGAGCCCCATCAAAGGTTGGGAGAGGGAGCCCCAACCCCGAACCACCCCAACTCAGGCCCAGGACCTCTGTTTTCGCCGGGTTTAGCTTCAGTTGACTCAGTCAGAGCTAATCAGCCACGGCTTGCAACGCTCGGTGCAGATCTTCTGGGCTGGAGTCCGACCGGCTGCCCAACATCAGAAAGAGCTGGGTGTCATCTGCATATTGATGACACCCAAGCCTATACCTCTGGGCAATCTGGGCAAGGGGGTGCATTAAAATGTAATGCCAGGTAGTGGAGATATAAACTTTATAAAGGACACAAACACAAAGATTTATTTTTTTACTTAAAATAAAAACATGCTTAAAACATTAGCTGTGTAAGCTGCAAACCTACTTTTGATTTATTGACATTCACCACAGAAATCTCATGCTCAGAGTTCTGAGTCTAGGATCCAGGTTAAAACATGAAATGGCTGAGTGATTAAGAGAGTCTGGCGAAGCAAGCTATGATGCAGAAGCAGCAGAACTGGAAGCAGGAGATGGTCAGTTCCACTGCGGGCCTGATGGAAGCCCTCTGGGGGCCTGATCCACCCCCCCAGGCTGTATGTTTGACACCCCTGCATTAACTTTCTCAGGACTGAAGTCTAAGCCAAATTTAAATGTGACCCAGTGTAGTCTTCCATGTGTAGCATGTACCAAGGATGTGAGCCATTGCATGGCGACATTCTTTTTGCCTGCTAGGATAACAGTTCAATTGGGTCTAACGTGTCTCTAGCTCTATACTACAGTTGCATTAATCAACTAAAAGCAAGATTGGAAGCTGTGCCATGCCATAAATACATGCCTTGCTCTGGGAAAAACTAACTACTCATTAGTAGTCACAGGCTGGAAGCCTGCTCTGGATTCTGGGATATAACTGATTGGGAAATCTTCACCTCAAGATTTCTGTATTCTCCCAGGGCCTTGAGTAGGCCATTTTCTCCATCTCCTTCCTTTTTTTCCTTTAGCAAACTCTTAGCAGACTCTCAAAACAGTCTGTGCTGCTAGTGCATACTCATTAGGCCTGAGGTTAGCAGGTCTTCTTTCTCAGAATCTGGCT